TATATATATATATATATATATATATATATATATATATATATATATATAGTCATTAATAAACTATGAGATTTGATTTCAAATTTTACAAATTGGTCCACTGTTGAAGAAATAAATAAATTGTTTCATTTTTTTTCCTTACAAGTGAAATAGCCTGACTGAATGTAGATTCCCAGGTTAGGGATTAAGTCTTTCTTAACAAAGTGAGGTTTATATCAACACTTGACTTCAATACCTCTGATTAAGACTATTAATTACTTATTACTGCACCATATCTTTGTTTATACCTATCAATTTTGACCCTTTTTATTTCCAATTCCAGCTCAACTCATGTCTAATTTTGTGCTTTATTTTTCAAAAAGTAAACAGTATTTGTATTTACTCCTATCAATCACCACTGTTATGTACATGTCATGAAATTTTAATTTGTTTAATTTCTTCAGATTTCTGATTTCTTTCTATATATAACGAGAAATTCATTCTATAGGGCTTTAGAATTATAGTTCAATGTTTGTGCCAACATGCAGTACTATTCAATTTATACAGTATAAATTTAAATCCTTTTGAGTCAAATTGGTTGTATTATTAGGAAACAAGATGCCTATGCTTTTTAGTCAATAAATAGAAGTTCAGTTCGATCACTAAATCATCTTTTTGAAAAGAAAAAACAAAGGTGATTGATAGAGAGAATATATGCACGAAGAATGAGTGCCTTTTAACGGTCGTTTGCTTGGATATCTACGAATAATGTTGAATATAGTGTATTAGTAATACTGAGATTATTTGTACACATGTGGAGGAAAATTGTATGAAACCCTTGCATTGGATGGGTTAAAAAATTGTACAGAATAGCGTATTTGTTATGTACAATGTTGCTTCATGCATTTTTTTAGTACCTCTTATCAAAATGTGTTGTTGTTTACCCATTGAACAACTTGTAGAATTAAATTTTAAGTGAAGGAAGGGGCATTGATGTATGATAAAAAGAAAAGTTGTGTTTAGTAATATATTTATGATATTATAAATCTAAGGCTGATTGATTTCAGGTACATAGAAGGTATAAGGAATATTATGAACAGCTACAAGGAGTAGTGTCATCCTTTGAATCAGTCGCTGGAGTTGGAAATGCATCCCCATTTGCAAACCTATCTTTAAAAGCATTGTCTAAACACTTTAGGTGCCTAATAAAAGCGATTTGTGACCAAATGAAGTCTTGTGATGGTATTGGGAAAGGCAACTATAATAATTTGGAAAGAGGAGGATATGTTTGGAGACCACAAAGAGGGCTACCGGAGCGCGCTGTAACTGTTCTTAGGGCTTGGTTGTTTGAACATTTCTTGCACCCGTAAGTGTTTATTCGAGAGTTACGTTATTTCTGTATGTATGTGTAAATTAAATTTAACTTGTCAGTGTTCGATGTTTTTGCAGTTATCCCACAGATTCTGACAAAGTAATGTTGGCAAAACAAACTGGTCTTTCAAGGAATCAGGTCTGGCAATCGACTCATCTCTTTGATCCATATATACATGTATTTAATTATAGGTCTTTTTGAACATAGGTTTCTAATTGGTTCATCAATGCAAGAGTTAGGGTATGGAAGCCTATGGTTGAAGAGATACACATGCTTGAAACTAACAAATCTTCTTCACACATTAACAACAATGATCCAGAAATGAATTTATCATCATCAGGTGGGGTGTCATTAACATTGGGACTTCATCATCAAAACAATAACAAAGCTTTATCTTTCCCAAGAAATGCAGCACGGCGTTTTGGTATCGATCCAAATAATATTATTGCATGATTTTTTTGGTTGAGTTATTATGCATTTAATTAATTTCTATATATGTATATTTTGCAACATCATTATATCTTTAATCTATATAGTTTTGTATTTATTCAGATTCATACCTTAGCCGTGTGTAATACACTTTATATGTTATTTGCAAAAAATTGCATATGACATTTAAAATGAATAATACATTCTACTTTGACCAAAAATAAATAATGACTATCTCCTCGCCCCCGGGCAACAATTTCTAAAAATACTTTGCTAAAATTTAGACCTCACCCCCCACTCCTTGCTAAAATTTTAAAATAATATAACCCTCCGCTCCTAATTTTTCAAGTAAAAGCAAGTAGGCATGTATAAGACACGAAGTTGTCAAAAAGTTTATGTTTATGTATCATATAAGCAATGTTCACCCTTTTTAGGAGAATATGTCATGTTGGATTGTGTCCGAAAAATATATTTTAGCTTTATATACTTTTCTTTTTCTTAGTTTATAACTTTATATAATTTTCTTATTCTTAATTTATATCAAAATCATAATATAATAATTTTGTTTAAAATTATGTATTTGATTAAATAAATAAATTTTGTATTCAAACACATAACAAGCATATGGTTGACTTGAGATAAACACATCAAGTGAAGTTGTATTCTTGTTCTGAATTTACATTTTTAATTCAAGCTCTTGTTTTTCTTTTTCTTAGTTCTAGCGTTTGTGACAAATATAATCTTTTGACTGTAGTTATACTTTTTGTTTTCTGTGCGTAGAGCACTAGATTGTTTCCTCATTTATTTGACAGAATGTTATATTTTTAATTAGTTAAATCGAATGACAGGATCTAGCATTTTAGTCTGGGTGGTGTAGTCGGTTATCACGCTAGTCTCACACACTAGAGGTCCCCGGTTCGAACCCGGGCTCAGACATTTTTGTTTTATTTTAATTCTAATTAGTAAACCGGATTGCATCATTATTGTTCCTAAACTCAAGCACTCTTTAATCATCATAATTAATTGAACCTAAATACGTCCCCGATCTAGTTATATGTGTGAATATGCTCCGCCAAATTTAAAAGTATTTTCAATACTTGTCTCGATTTTTTTATTAAGAATCTCATGCTCATACAAGAATTCTAGACCACTTCCTACATCATCTGACATATCACGATGAATCTAAGTTTAGTTAATTAAGTAGAGTGACATTTTAAAGACTATCAATACTTAGAGAATAAAATTAATAATTTCTGTCAAATTCAAAATTTATTTCATATATTAATAAAACTGTTTGTTTAGTACATTATAGAAATACCCCTTCTAGAATAAAATCAGACAGAAAATCACCTTCAAATGTTCAATCAGATGATTTTTTTTGCTCTTTAAAGTAATAACTCCATAAAGTAATTAGTACAATTATTTTATATGTAATGCAATCGAATTCTATGACACCAAACGCGCACTTTTCTTGCAAGCATATATTATATTAATAAGCTTGGAACTCCTTTAATGACCGACAATGGAATTTTGACACATTTTTTTCAATATAAATCCTTTGAAAATTCTCATAGTATGGGGGAAAAAATAAAGGAGAAGGGGGCTGCATACTTGCATACCTTTTTCTTTATTTAAAAAAATAAATAGTAAAAAAAAAGTGTTTTCCTTGGTACTAAATTAAAGACACCCTTTTAAAGTTGAAAATTACTATTTAGACCACATGATGATTTGTTTTCTCCATATATTCCTCTCCAACTATACGAATTTACTTTGTGTAACATAGATCTTTTTGTAGAAAACATATACTATTGATATGTTTAACGATATCCCTTGTTATTTTTGAGTAGGCGGAACCATAATCGATCGATCTCCAACAGAAATTTAAAAAAAAAATGGATACGAAGAAGTGGGGTGAGAGTATAGCAATGGCAACAGGATTCATGGTATTGTTAGGACTAGTTTGTTGCTGCCTTAGCTACAAGAAGATGTGGTCTCATGGTAAAAGAGACAAAGGAGGTTCTGGCAGTGCTTCTTGCACCTGTGATGCTGGATTTTGAGGTCTGTTAATGGCTTACCATTCTCAATTTTATATTTATATTTATTAAATATACTAGGAGATTTTCGTCGTCTACGTACATACCAAGAGTTTTATTGTATATGAATCTCGTTCACAATTTTTGTGTATGAAAATTGTATCCAATGTATTTTGCTTGTGTTAGATTGTTACTGTTTGGATATGACAAACTTTCATACAAAATTTGATAGTACAACTACAAACATATATACATGCAAGCTAACAAAAAAAATTTCATACGAATTTAATATAATATACAATTATAACAAGATAACTTCAATACATAGTTGATACAATTCCACGATAACATTGAACTTCAACAAACTAAGATTAAAATTCAGGGCACAAAATTAGCATATAGCAAATTGATTTTTAGAATTTAAGTTTCGAGCTCTTTTAATAGCTGACCATAGAGTTTTGACACATTCAATATAAATCCTTTTAAAGTTCTCATAGTAAATTTCTTTTTGATATGTATTTGTCACTTCCTATTTTAATTAATTAAGAAAGATGGAATTCAATTTGTTTTTATATATGTAGTAAGTTTTTCGTGGAACATTAAGTTCCTTTTCTTATTTTCTCTTCCTTTTAATATAGGATAGGAGAGCAGGCGCACGTCATAACTATATAGAGAGATGAGAAATTAATTTCATAATTATATATATAGAGAGAGATATGATAGATGAGAAACTGGCAAAAATTTGAATATAATTAGCAGTGCAACTCACGAGGAGAATATGAGTGTTTTTCTGCTATTGGTATATATAAGGTAGAGGAACGACCAGTGCTAAAATCCAACTGGAGCATTGTTTCATTTTTCTTATTTTACGTTTAGCTTAGAGATCATATTTGAAGCACCGGAAGTATTTAATCTATAAATTTGATTGGCGTAAACATTCCCTTTAAAGTTAAGCACCTTGTTTTTTCTCTCCATATTCTTCTTGCACTACTAATATAATGGTGTTTTAGTGCTACTGTCTTTTTTCTAGAAAAGACTTTATTATTATTGGGATACACTTTGACTTGTTTATTGTGTTTTTAAAATGATGTACTGTATTGACAAACTTGTGATCTTGGTGCTTTTTAATGGAAAAGGAGAAGAAAGAAGAGAATGTAGAAAAAACATTGCTTGTACGAGTTATTACATTTTTAATTATATTTTTCAGAGATATGTATATATAATAAAATAAGTACTAAATTAAAGCATGTATAAAAAAAGTGGATCGGATGCATATATAAGTGACAAATTAAAGTTTGTATAAGATAATTAAATGGTGTGCTAATCAATTAATAATAGACACAAAACTCTTTACATCATTAATATAATTCAGAAATCAAAGAGCATAAATTTGAATTGACGTTATTTTCTGCAAATAAGTTGACAAGCTTGAATCACATTTTTAAATCAATGCCAAAGGGCTAAAAATATATACTCAAATATATCTCAGTTATATTTCCTGGCTGAATATATCTTATCTATACTAATGGACTAAATATTACAATTCGCCCCACTTAGCAAAGATTTTCGCTTCAAAGGTACGATTTCTTTTCTTCTTCAAACTTTATAGTGAGTATGCTTTAAGCTTTACAGTCTATTTTTTCAAAAATAATTTCTTTCCTTGTTTGGAGTTTCATAGTCTAGAACTTTGGTATGATTTAAGTTTTCGAGCCTAAGGTTTTGGATATAATGATTTCTTTTCTTGCTTCAAGCTTCATATATAGCCTAGGTGTTTGGGTATTGATTAAACTTCGAAATAATCTGTTTATATATATATATTATGTTGGTTACTGTCTTGATTTGGTGTCCAATTTATTTACATGAGTACTCTTGATTTGTGATCTCTTAATAATTTAGAAATTATTTTATTTGTGTATGAAAATATGCTAACTTTTATCTTCTTTATTCTTCAACAGTTAGTCTCTTCAGCTCTTCACATTTATATTCTTCTACAATCATGAAATGTGGTCCCTTCTGTAATTTCTTTTTTATTCTTCATCAGTCATAAAATATGATATTTTTCATGTTTTCTAGTCTGTTACAATTATGAAATGTTGTCCCTTTTAAATTTATAATTCCATAATTATAAAGTATCATTTTCTTAAATTCAGTTTCTTTCATCTATTGCAGAGATGATTAAATTTTAAGTATTTACACTGAGGAATTTACTCCGTTGAGTGCTTTGTAAATAGCCATCAATTTTTGTGATTTAATTGAACTTATACTTTTTTTTAAAATAGATACCTTAAGTTTTGTGGGGTCCTATCACCCAACGAAATAATCCAAATTCACACTAAATACACCATTTTGATCCACTTTCACAGTA